ATTTATTCAAAGGTCTATGACTGTTTACTTATACGTGGCTCTATGGGATACACAATGACAAGCACCTAATTAAGAAATGCAAACCCAACACAGAGTTTCATATTGTCAGATGGAGATGGAGAGTCTGTTTTTCAAATGCAAGGCAACTCGTGCATTGCACATGCTTGGAAGGAATCAGTTGCATTAGGGTCCTGGAGGGGGTGATGGGATGGTGGCAGCGGAAGGGACAGTGTGTGTGGGCAGCCACTTTGGAGGCAGGACACCGGGGACTGCCAACCCACCAAATCAACGGTAGAAGGACTCAGCCCATTGCCCCCAACCCCCAGTGGACTTGTAAAGATCAAACGGGAGCTGCCTTGCAGCTTCTTGGTTCTGTAACACCTGAAGTTATAGCATTTGTCCCTCGAGAACCCAGGCCTCAGATCCCCCTAGAACCCTCCGAGGATGCTCACAGGGCATCAGTACTGGTACCGTTCTTATTTTTTTTATCGTGGTAAAATATACAAAACATGCAATTTACTGTCTTAATCATTTCTAAATGTGAAGTTCAGTGGTATTAAGTACATTCCTAATGCTGTGCTATCATCACCCCCCGTCCATCTCCAAAACCCTTTTTATCTTGTCAACCTGAAACTCTGTACCCACTAAACCCTGACTCCCTATTCCCCCTTTCCCTTTAGCCCTTGGTAACCACTGTTCTACTTTCTGTGATTTTGACTGTTCTAAGTACTTCGTATAAGTGGAATCATGCAGTATTTGTCTTTTTGTGAGTGGTTTATTTCACACAGTAAAATCTGCGAGCTCATGCATGGTATTAGCCAGACCATTTCTGACGGTGCCTCTCCCCAGTGCTACTACTAACTGGCAGAAGATGCGTTCCACCTCATTTTCCTCTTCCAAGAGGGGAGGAGGGAAATGGAGGCCAGAGGAAAGGAGTGTCTCGCCCAAGGACACGAAGGCTCAGGAGGGCGGGGATCATTAGAGCTCCATCCTCTGCATCCACCCCTGGCTTGTAGGGCAAAGGCCCTGTCTGGGGATGCGGAAAGTCCCTGCATACACCACGTGACTTCAAACCTGGATCTTCACCTTCATAGCCTCAGTTTCCCCTCTGTTCAAATAGCTATAATAAAAACAGACTCTCCTTTCTCAAAGAGTTGTTGTAAAGATGAAATGTGGTTTTTTAATGCCTTCAAAAGATAATGTCTTGTACAGGAAAAACGTGTGGCTGCAAACCCAGATTCATGCCACACAAAGATCAAAACAAGTGGGCTTAGGAGGCCGCGTGCATGCAAGTAAAGGGTTGGGAAGGGGGGCACTCGGCCAGGGCTCCTCGGCCCCGAGACCGGAGCTCCACGACCCCGCACTGTTACTAAACACTGCTGCTGAGTCTACTTATCCCCCTAGGAAATACGTGTCAGGGGCCCATTCTGTGCTGGGTGCTCTGCCAAGCTTTGGGGACAGAGGCGGACAAAGTCCTGACTTCATGGAGGCTGCTATCTAGAGGAGGAGGTCGTCCTTAAACAGATAGTCACAGGAATGCCCATGTGGTGACGACTGGGGCAAGGGCTAGGAAAGGGTGGGGCCGATGCCCAGAGAGGCCTTCCTATGAGCTGGCATTAAGCCTCAGAGTGAGCTGAAAAAAGGCCACTCTGCGGGGGGTGGCCTAAGTGAGACAGCATGTCCAGTGGCCCCACGTCATTATTTCACACCATGGCATAATTGCTGTCTGTTGTGAAGTCATCTAATGACTGGGGATGGTTCCTGGGGATGTGCTCTTTGCTGTCACCAGCTGAGGCCCTTCTGACTCCTCCTGGAGGCCATAGTCCAGGCACAGATAGTCTGGTTGGCAAACGCTGCTGCCTTCCATAGAAAGGGCATTATCTGTCATGCTGCAGCAGCTGCCGTCGGCCGTGCTGAAATACTGTTTTACTATAAATACCAGAGTATAGGTACTTGTCCTGTGAAATATAAGTTCTGCATGATCAAACCCGGGAAATCTCCTGCCTTTCCTTCCTGGATTGGGTTACATGTATTTTTAACAGAGAAGAAGGGAAAGGGGAGAGTGGGAGAGAGAGCAGATCCCTGGCCATGAGGGCGGGCCTGTGTCTCATTCTCCACACAGGGTCTGGCATACCTGGGGCAGACCTGCTTCCCTGCCTGCTCCTCACAGCCCACACAACCCAAGGCAGCTTATTTCACTTTCTGGGGCTTGAGAGACTGTACATCCTGAGGGGATGTTGGGAGGGAAAGAGGGCGGGGGAGGGGGGTACCTGATGGTCTGTGATCCAACCTGTTTCCAGCAATGGGATGAGATCCTCTGAGGTCTGGAGCTGTTTATAGCCCTGAATTCCGCCAAGTACCCTTCCCTCTCTCCCCAACTCCCTTCCTTGCTTCCTTTGCTCCTCTCTCTCACCTTTCCTTCAGTACTCAAGCTAATTTGAGTAGATTTTCATTATTTGCTAGCAGAGAAATCTCGGTGAACACCCTCCTTCGCAAACTTGTGTGAGGACTAAATGAGGGAAGTGTAGGAGAGCTTGACGCGGCACGGAGCAGGCAAGCAGAATTCTTGAAGTGGTATTTCCCAAGATGGGTTGAATAACCTCTGATACCACTGGGGGCTGGGGGGATGCAGAGGGGGGAAACCAGCTGTATAGGGTTCCTTGGGTTCCCCAAAGGGTTCCTTGGTTCATCTTTGGGAAACACAGGGTACATTTTCCCCTCTTGAGATTGCTATTGATCGGCATATTCAGAACTGAAAGATCTTCTTGTAAGAGAACACAGTTAATTTTGCTTAACTCTGTGTTTCCCAAACCCACTCAAACACCAAACTCCCTTCTGCCCTACATTGCCTAGGCAAGTGCCCCCAGGATTGGGCTGGCCTGGAGCCCCTCTAAGGCACCTTGAAGCTCTCAATCCTGAATATTATTACTTTTCACCTTCTCCAAATCTTCAGTAGTGAATTGTCATGATTGATAGGCTCTCTGTTGCAATTCAGAGCTGTTTTAGCAATAGGATTAATGCCTGTGGTTAGAGATTTGCTCCGGCTCTTATAGAGAGAAATAGATATTCTCATGAGGAAAACATTGAGGGTTTAGACTTCAATAGAGAACCATTTGTGAGGGTTGGCACTCTTTTACCCTGAAATCCCCCAATCGGAAAATCTGGAGCTTGAAGACTTATAGAAAGCATCTAGTTCCCCATCACCATCCCAGCGGCCATCAGAAGCCCTGAGAGGGGAAACATTTTGGTCAAGGTCACAGACCTCTTTCCATCTCACCATCCCTGTACAGCAGAGGATGACATAAATAAGTGCATAGAGTGGACAAAATTGACCTCTGACCACTGCTGCTCTTGTAATTAAACAGAAATGTTAACATAAATCAAATGGTCTTTCCACCACCATTACCGCTAACAATGCCTTCTGTCCAGGGAAGGTGGAAAGGCATTGCTCTCAGGCCTGCAGCAAGCCATAAAACCTGCCAGTGCTAATGAACCATTGCTTGAGCCAATTAAGACAGGAAGCAAAACTGTCTTTAATTAAGGCATCATGCATCCCATGGGCTCTCTCTAACTTATACCCAGAGGAATTGGGAAGCCCCGCTGGACCCAGTTGCCATGCTTTTGGAAAGCAGTAAACCAACTCCGTTTAAAAGGGATCTATCTGGGTATTGAAAAATCTGTGTTCTAATCTGAGCTGTGTAGGCTTTAGTTTCTTTATCAGTAAAGTCATCCCTTTCCTTCACTCATGTCCATCAAATAGTTCTTGAGCATCAACTGTGGGCTGATCCCTGCAGCCAGGCACCATGGACACAAGGACCACAAAGGCTCAGTCCCTGCTCTCCGCTGGCCTGAAGTCAACGGGGTCCATGCAATGGGATAACTCTTGTTCAATAACCAGGCCTGTGGGTGCTTAGAGGACGAAATAACTAATTCTCTTTGGGGGTTTGGGGAATGCTTTCCAGAAGGAGAGACCTGAGCTGTGGTTTGAATAAGGGTTAGTAAGATAAGGAAGGGATAGCAGGTTCTGGCCAGAGGGCAGCCTTGAGGAAGGTAAGGATCAGGAACCAACAGGACATGTCTAGGGAACTAGGCTTTGCTTAGAGAGGCTGCAGCAACAGTTCTAAGAATGGAGGGTGGGAAGTGAGGCAGAATGTGGACAGATAGGCACCAGGTCACATAGAGCCTCTTCTGCAAAAGCTGCAAGGCTGAATGTTACTTTGCAAGGTGTGGGACTAATCCACTCTAAAGATGTGTAATGTGCACAGTGAAATTAAATAACTAGTCAGTTTCACAGGCTGTGTGACTTTGGGCAACTCAGTTGCCTCAACTGTCAAATAAGAATAATCACACTATCCAAGAGGATTCAATGTTCTATTGGCAGATGATTCACTGGGCAGTGAAATTTTAGGCTATAAACTGTGGTGCTCAGCCAGGAGAAAGAGAGTTCAAGATCTGAGTGCATGAGTGCATGTGGGGCAAACTTGTATGCCCACATCAGAGAGAAATGCTGCTCAGATGACCTGGGATGCCACTCTCCTTCATCAATGACCTCTAAGAAGAAACACAATCAAAACAGTCATTGCTATCATCCCCATACGATATTCTGCCAAGCACATTTGTCTCCCCCATTTCTTTTGATTCTCACCAGTGCCCTATCAGGTATGTGATCATTGCCTTCATTATGCAAGAGAAACTGAGCATCAGACCGGAAAGTGAATTCCCCGAGGTTACACGGAAGTGGGTGCCAAAACTTGTTCTAGTTCTCCTGACTCATGGCCCAGCAAGCTGACCAGAAAATCCTAGCAGGTTACCTCAGGTGACTGTGCATGAAACATCTAAGGCTCCTTAAGTCACATTCTCAAAAACCAGGGTGAAAGTTCCTCTAATGAATTCATGAGTAATATGAAAATTTTCTCAAAAACATATCGCCTTTTTCTTCTCGCTTCCATCCCACCATTCTGTGACTACCAGCTTCCAGGCACACTCCCCTTGCTCCTCACCTGTAATTGCCTAGGTAGACTCCATCAGGGTTGAGCATTGGTGCAATCTTGAAGACCAGGTGCTCCCGTAGGACACGGGCAATAGGGTGCTGGCTTATAAGGAAGTCAATGATCCCTAGGGAAAGAGAAAAAATCTGGGTTAACCTCAAAGTGTTTCAAGAAGGAAGGAGCACATTTTCCTCAGCTTGGAAGCAGTAAGAGCTCCGAAGGTGATTTTTGGCCTATGTTGTCAAGCATGGTGGGTGTCTGGCTATGGATTAGGTGTTGTCTGGTGAGTTTTATAACCATATCTCTGTTTCCAAGGGACAATTCAAGACATAATGTTGAAGCCCACAGGCAGATGGAAGAGCATGTGTCCTGCTGCAGAGTATCATGTAGGCGTCTAAGAAAAGAGCACTTGGAGGGCCTGGATTTTGACAGATAGAGATAGGGGAGAGGCAGGGTAACTCCAAACAATGAATTAAGAGCTACTCTCTAATGTCTAAGTGTTGACATCGGATTGGACAATTACAGGGTCAGGGACTCAGGGATCTAAACCCTCCTGTTGCTGGTGGTTACACGAGAAGGCAGAGAGGAGGAGGAATTTGGTTACAGTCACATGAGGAAAAAGAGGTTTCTTCAGTGTCCCAACTCTGCCCCTCTTCCCAGTTTGAGAACCCGCTGTTCACATGCCCTGGTTCATGCTGCTTCTCCTTGCACCAATGCTTGCCTCCAGGTGATCAAATTTAGAAAAGGTGAATTCTCCATGACTCTCAGCCACAATCAGGCAGGCCCCAAGTCTCTTCCTTGTATCTGACAGATCTGCCCTGTATCTCCATCCCTCTGCTGCTTGTCTTTTCTAGGCCACCACCACATATGGCCTGAATGACTGCGACCACTTTTGGAACGTGCGCTTATCAGAGCAGCCAAAGGGATCCTCCTAAAGTGCAAATCAGAGCCTGTTAGTGCCCTCATTGACGTCCTTCTGGTGATAGCCTGCGAAGCTTGACGATGGGTGGGGGGAGGAAACAAACAACCCAAGTTCTCACCCTACCCCTCCCTCCCTTCTCCACATTTCAACTTCTTCAGAGACCTGGGAAAAAGGAGGCGAAGCGGAGCTCTGGCATTCTGAAATAACTGTAATGTTGGAAAGCGGTAGGAGGGTGTACAAGCCTCCCAGAGCGTAGAAGGGAACACCTTTCCTGCTGGAGAGAGAAGGAAAGGCACCAAGGAGAAAGAAGCTTTGGAGCTGGGCCCTGAAAGATAAGCACGGTTTGACAGACAGGAGGAAGCAGCAGCAGGGTAACTAAGAACAATCCATGGCCCAGAGGCAGGCACTTAGCTCCTGGAATGATAAATGGCTCCACAGCACATCCCGAAGCTGCTGTGACCAGTGAGGGACATCTCAGGCTTTCCATCAGGCCAGGGCTCAGAATCCATCGGCAGCCGAAAGCCAGTTTGACATCATTTACTTCTAGACCAACGCGGCAGTAGACCAGATGCCCTAATTTATTTGTTGGTCTTCATATTAAAGCTGCAGTTTGCCAGTAAACAGGCAGGCTAATGATGCCAGGTGCCCTTGTTAGGGGCTAATAATTGCTTAATCTGTCCACTAATTGACCCCGGCTCCCGGGGCAGCCCTCCATCAAGGAGCCAGCCTGCGCTCAGGGCCTGGACACGCTGCCTCAGAGGATGGCAGAGAATGGCTTCTGGAAATGGAGTAGCTCATTGTGATCCATCCTCCTTCACAGATGAGCAGATTAATTGGGCTGCCAATTAGGCAGCTAATAAAAGGATGAGAGAAGACAAAGCCAGGCCAGAAGCTGCAGCCATCTAGAGCTTCCTCTCCCATAGTGAGTGTGGGGCAAGGAGAGGAGAGGTTTTAGACTCCTCTTGGCTGGAGGTCAGATACAGTTCAACAGGAATCATTCTGCATGACCAGAAGTGGGAGGAGAGTCTTTTGTGAATGTGTGTGGGGGGTGGCAAGTGGAGAGTAGTGTGAGGAGAAATGTTGGAGAACACAAGGGAGGAGAGGAAATGCCACCCCCCTGGCCACAGACCAAAAGCCTCCCATGGACTGAGGAAGCAGAAGGACCTGGGCACATGCATTAGGACCCTAACTGGTTATCAGCTGGAGAAGCTACTAGTTTTCTCTGGCTCGTTTCCTCAGCTTGATACAAGAGTAATAATACCCAATCTGGAAACTAACCCATGTGTTTGGGTTAGAACACCTGTACTTGAACTGCCTGACACAACACCTGGAAATGGTCATGCGTTTTAATCAACTCACTGAGATCGAGGATTGAGAGGCAACGAGGATAGAACAAGCTGAATGGAATTTGGAACTGGGGGTCCTGGTCTGTGAGGTTTGCTAGCTACATGACTTGGGAGCAAGGATGCTGACTTGAAGAAGCCAGCAAACCAGCCGTCGGAGAACCCGGTTTCTAGTTGTGCCTCCATTACTGGGTGAGCTTTAGAAAGACTCCAGCCTACTCTCATCTTTAAAGTTAGGAGAAAGAAATTGATAATTCCCAAGGACACATTCCACACTGTCAGTCTGGGATTCCATCCTTTTATTCCTCTCCCCCAGAGTTGAAGGGTCCTCATCTATCAAGTGAGGAGAATAATCTCCCTCCTGCAGAGAGACACAATCAACCTCCTTAGATCAGTCTGTACCTTTGGTAAACAAGTTCTCTGGGTCCTTGCTTTTAAACTGATTTAATCAGGAAGGTGGAAGAAAGCAGGACAATAGGAAGACTGGAGGCATGAGAGTCTGGGGAGGGGGAAGGAAAAGTGGTAGATGATCAGAAATTATAGCCAGGTCACAGAACTCACTGCCCTGGGCTGACCTCAGCCTGGTCGTGATGAACCTCACCAGGCAACCCCAATGAGCTATTCGTTGTTATTTCTCCCAGTGTACTTGGTTCAGGTCAGGGTACACAGCAGGTGCCTATTAATGCCCACTGGTAGACTGGCCCCAGGCATTCATTTAGCCTTGACAGAGTATAGGGTTAGCTGAACTGAAAATCACTCTTTCTATAAACATTCACAAGGCCAGGTCTGCACCATAAGCCTGGAATTGCAGGATACAGAAGAGTTCTTGCCCTTCCCACATGCACGGTGGGAAAGCAACTCCCAATGTAGTGACAGGCAAAGGCTCAGGCAGGAGTATCTGGGGGAGCCCTGAGGACTCAGAGCTCCTAGGAAGGGGCTGTGGAGAATGGAGATGTAAAAGATGAGTACAGTGAGTCCAATGAAGGGGCGCCAGGAGAAGGAGCTCTGGGCTGGAGGATCCCACACAAAGGCCAGAAGGTGAGGAAGAAGACCTGTTGGCTAAGGAAGAGCTCTTCAATTCAGGGGCATAGCTCCATGACTAAAGGCACAGACTATTCAAGCTATCTGGGTTTGAATGGCTGTGTGGCCTAACGTCTCAGGGACTCAGTTCCACCTCAGTTAAGAAGGAAAGAAGAAGGGGTGTCTGGGTGGCTCAGTGGGTTAAGCCTCTGCCTTCGGCTCGGGTCATGATCTCAGGGTCCTGGGATCGAGTTCCGCATTGGGCTCTCTGCTCTGCAGGAAGTCTGCTTCCTCCTCTCTCTGCCTGTTTCTCTGCCTACTTGTGATCTCTCTCTCTGTCAAATAAATAAATAAAATCTTAAAAAAAAAAAAAAAAAAGAAGAAGGAAAAAAGAAAACTACCTTGGGGATTGTTGTGCAGATCTCCATGAGTTAGTAGAAGCAAAGTGTCTGGCACGTAGGATATGGGCCTGTGTATGTTGTCTGACTTTGCTCCCATTTGGTTTGGCTGAAGGTGCGGGGAAGAGAGGATGTTGGAAGAGAAAGGGAAGAGGTAAACGGGGATTTGCCAGTCCAGCTGAAGGATATGAGGGGCACAGGAGACCACTGCCAACAACAGGGACTGACCTGGGATCCCCCACTGCAGTGTGGAATGGTGTTTGGGCTCGGTGTCCTGAAGGTGGGCAGAGTGGAGGCTAGGGGTAGGCCTAGCAGAGAGCCAGCGAATATAGAGTCTTGCAGGCAGGAACCGGGGTCTGACATGGGGCTGATCTGCAGTGACCAAGGTCCAGGAAGTTGCGAGGATATAACAGGTGCAGGGGAAGCAGTGTGGATAGATGGTGACACTGAGAAGGACATTACCTGTCTACCATCCCCAAGAGCATCACCACTCTTCACTGAAATGACACAATCCTAGGGAAAGCTGATCCCCAAATGACAGAGATTAAGTTTCTGGTCCTTGGAAGAATGGGGCTTCAAAATGGAAAATAAGTTCAGTTACAGAAAAGTCTGGAAAGTTGTGTTTCCTGTACCCTGGAGGTTTGGGGATTGGGGCTTGCATCTGCTGTTCAAGTCCTTCTTCCTGCCAGACTGTGAGCTCCAGGAAGGCAAGGATGGGTCTACCTCTTGGCCACTCTCTTGCCAGCATGTAGCTCAGCACCAGGCACAGGGAATGTCCACAGTAGGTATGTGTGACATGAAGGAATAAAGATGGACCCGGGATGTGCACTGTATGCTCCTTAGTGGGGCTGAACTGTAATTCTATTGGCTCCATGTACAGGGATCAAAACAAAGTCAGGGTGGTGACATCACTTTGCTGATGTCTCACAGGGGCCTCAATGGGTTTCAGATCCAGTTCTACAGGCTTCAAAGTGGTACCCTTCCCATTAAGGCAATATGGAAGAATCAGGAGTCGATTTGCATGGGATCTGTAGAGTGTTTGCATATACGCCTTCAGGAGTTTCTCTCTAGAGAGTTCTGTGTGAGGTTGCTGTTGCCTCTGCTAAGAGGCAATCTGTTGCAATGGGAGGAGCCCAGGCTTCAAGCAAGACACTTGGGGGTCTCTGTGGGACCCAGAGTGGGGGTCACACGAGAACAGCCACTCTAGGCCTTCCCCTCGTCAGGCCCCTGTCTGCCCTGAGCTGAGTCCAACAACCTCAAATCATGGAATCACAAGGAGTCTGGCCCTGAAGAACCTTCCTGGTCTTGGTTCTGACTTTTCCACCTGCAATGCTTCCCATTTCACAGATGAAAAGACAGAAGTTCAGGGAAGTGAAAAGCCCATGACCACCTCTTAGTGGGTCTGGTGTTTACACAGGCTGTAAAGGATATATATAGAGAGAGAGAAGAGGCGGCATAGGTGAGGGATAGGGGTGGGAGGAAAACAGTCGGGGAGGGGAGGGGAGCAGGGGCAAAAGTCACCACCTCACGTTGGGAAACATTAGGTTGTTCTTGGTCCTAGTGGTTGTGAGTGCATGTGTGTGTGTATCTCCCCTCTCCTCCTCTTATCTCCCCAGGGTAACCCCAAGGACTGAGCTCCCTGAGGGATGGTCAGCTCTATCTCTTTGAGCCGTGGGGGGCCCCGTGGCACATGGCAGCAAGGCTCACTTAACCCTCACAGCAGCCCCTCAAGGACCATATTTCTGCCTCCATTTTGCAGGTAAAGAAACAGAGGCTCTGAGAGCTGGGAACTTGCTGAAGGTCTAGGCTGGGAGGTGGAGGTGGTAGGACTCACACTCGGGCCTGCCCAAGTCCAAGGCCTTGGCTCTGCCCACTTCCCCACGCTGCCCTCTAAGGGGTGGTAGGCCTTGCTCATACTAGATAGCATAATTTACTGGTTTGACTGATTCAGTTACGAAGGGTCTGCAGAGGACAAGTGTTCTGCCACTGGCACTTTTCGGAGTTGTCCCAACAACCCCCGAAAGCTTCAGTGAAAGAACATTCACTCGACCAGAAATCAGACACCTGACCAAACCTCGGACCTGCAATCTGTTCTTCCTAGAGCAGAATTGAGGAGGGCTCCGCTAGCGGCTCTCTCAGGAAAACAGCAAGGAAGGAGGTGGGCTGGGGCACACGGCCCAGAAGCCACACACCCGCGTTTGCACGCCTTGTGGGGGTCAGAGGAGCCACACTGGACACCTGCCAGGTGCTCCACAGTAACACTTCCTTAGGGCCAAGGGTATTCCAGACACTGTCCTAAATGTTTTATGGCTACGAACTCATTTAATCTTTACAATCACCCTATGAGGCAGGCTTCCTACTGTTATATCCCTTTCAAGATAAAGGAACTGAGGCACAGAGAGATTACACAAGGTCATGCTGCCCTACGTGGAGGAGCTGGGGTTCAGGGTCAGGCCTGCTAGCTCCACACACTGCGCTGCAGGGCCGCTTCCAAGCTCCTTGGACCTTTCCTGTCTTGGCTGGAAAATGAGGATAGTTTGGCCTCCCGTATGCCAGGAGTGGGGTTTGGGGCAGCCAAGGGATAACTGAGAATCCCCCATCCAACCGCCAAGCGGGGCCTTGAGGAAATCTGAGCCTTGCCACCTTTACCGCCACCCCTCAGAGTTCTAGGACAACGTAGTTTCCCTCTGCTCCCAGCAGCAGGTGCATCAGCAGCTCGGCTGTGAGGACCGTGCTCCCAGCCAGATGGGGAGGTCCAGGCCCCACATGTCTGTTCCCCACTCAAGGTCACTGAGCCAGTTAATGTGAAAGAAGCATTAACTGGGCTGGAGGTATCTCAACCGTCCTTCTAGGCTCTCCCCAGAACAAGGTGGGCTGGGGAGGGGATCCAGCTGGGCCCTGTGGGGCTGTGGTCTGGCCTATCTCCCGCGCAGTGAGAGACCCAGAGAGACGGTGCCTTAAGGTGTCTTAAGCTGCCTCAAGAAAGGGCAAATTGTGTCTCCAGAGACAGGTACAGAGATAGGGAAGGAAGAAGACATGCGGCCCAGGCCACAGCTGCCAGGAATTCACCATGTGTCCTGGGTAAGCTACTTCACTTCCCTGAGCCTCCCCGTTCTCATCTGTAAGTGCACATCAACTGTTGTGGGGTACCCAGGGCTCACCAAGCTCGGCCTTCCAGCACTCCCCATCCCTGAGTGGGGCAAGAGAGCTTGTACAGGCTTGGGAGTCCCAGACTCAAAGTCCCACTCTGCTGTCTACTGGCTCTGAGCTCCAACTTAGAATCCCAGAACCAACACGGCCATTGTCCCCCATAGCTGCCCCATGGGGTAAACAAGATAATCCCCATTTTCCAGATGTAGAAACTGATACTCAAAGATCGAGCCCTAGGCATCAAATAGCTCACAGTTTAAAGGGAAGAAACAAATATAGATCAAATATGTAACAAATCAGGGTGATAAAGATGACCAGCAAGTAACCACAAGGCAGGCGCAAAGCAGAGGCTAAAGGGTGTGGGATGGCAGCCCATGCGGGCTTCTTGACATGAATGTTGGGAGACAGGAAGTGTTTGCCGGGCGGCAAGGGGTGGGCAGAGGAACAGCACATGCGAAGGCCCGGTGGTGGGAAGAAGGTTGCCTGTTCAGGGTTAAGTTGTATGGGGCAGGGATAGAATGAGGCTTGGGCCAGGAAACCTGGCAAGAGCCAGATGGTGGAGGGTTGTGAATGTCACAGCAAGGAGTTGGGAGTTTATCTTGGGAAGGTAGAGGGAAGGCATTAAAAGGCTGTGCCAAGGAGTAAACATTGATGGAAAGCCTGCGGGACAGCACAGAGTCTATCAACTCGGTACCATCCAGATTCCTTTTTGGGAAAGCAGGCTCAGCAGAGAAATCCCCCGAGCTGAATTCAACTTCTCTAGGTCTCAGGCCTTGTCTGTAATGTGGGGTGGTGACCCTGCCCTCTGTCTGCTGCCCACAGACAGCAGTTTGGGCTCCCAGAGCTGATAGGTTTGACAGTAAGGCTACTGTCTTTTTACAAACAAGGACAAAATAGTTGCATCCGATCAGCTGGGGGAACAGGTCTGCTGCCAAGTTTAGTAACTGACAGATGGTTGCCAGTAGAGGGGTTGGTCAACCCAGGAGGGACCTGGGAGAGGTTACTTCAAGGACAGTGCTGGGAGGAAAGAGGATGGAAGTGAGAAGGCCAAGGAGTGAGCCGGGGGGGACGACAGCGGGGAGTTGAGACACCCAGGCTCTTTGGAGCGGCTCAGGTTTGGGCAGTCACTCCCTCTCCCCCAAACCCAGGCTCCTGGTCTGAAAGAAGTGGAGAAGCAGTCAGGTCTAATGACAGTGCTGTATGAACACAAGCAGGAAAAGAAGACTCGCATCTATTTGCAATAGTGCCTTAGAGTTTACAAAGCAGGTTACCTACAGCATCTCAGAGCACCCTGGGGAAGGGGGTGACGTCCGTTCTAAGTGTCTGCTGAGTGCCCGGCACGGGACTGGGTGTGTGTTTGCAGGCGTCCTACCCCAGCTTCATGGCAGCCTTTGCAAATAGGTATTGATATCCTAATTGATTTTATGTTGAAGGAAACTGAAATCACACTGCTAGGAAGTGGCAGAGCCAATGTTTGACCCTAAGACTCTCTGATGGCAAATTGCCAGATACTTCCATGATAATCCGCAGTCTCCCTCAAGTCATATTATTTCTATGGGTTTTGTGTTTTTTTTAAAAATCCCTTTGACCTTGAAGGTCATTTGGGGACTAAAAGGAGATAAATTACTTAACTTCTCCAAACTTACATAATTGTATATAAGAATACGGTTAACATTAATTTCTATGATGTAGAAAAATTAATATAATTAAAATAAATTATATTAATGAAAATAAATAATAAAAATAAAATAAAATATGTAAAGTGCTTAGAACCATGCTTGGCACATAGATAGTATCACATATTTAATATATGATATATGCACTAGATAGGTAAAAATGCAAGTGTATTGGTGAGAATGTGGGACAGTGGGAACGCTCAGGCATTGCTGGTGGCAGTGTAAAGGTCTCAGAGAAAAACCTGCGGAGATCACACAAGTCCTGTGACCTTCCATGTTATATACCTGGAAAAGCATCTGCACGTAGGCACAAAGCAACGTACATGAGGATGTCTGTATCAGCTCTGTCCATAAGAATAAACACTGTAAACAAATGAATTGTCCGGGAGAACAGACAGAGAAGTTGAGGCGCCTGTCAGACATGGGCTAGGGTACCTGGTGAAAAGAAGTGAACTCCAGCCACACCCACCACCACGGATATTGGGTGAAAACAAGGGCCAGGGTACACAGAGTGATACTGTTTTTTAACTTTATCAAAAAGCTAAAAAAACACGTGAAACAAAACCCTAGATGGTTTAGGAATGCTTATATGTACAGTAAAACTATTGAGAAAGATAACAAAATACAAACTCCCAGCTACCTGTGGGAGGAGGAAGGGAGAAGGGAGGACAAAGGATTGAAAAGGAATAGATAATAGTCTTCTTCTGAAGCTGGTGAGTACCCTGGCATTCATTAAATTGTTATTTGTGTATTATTTATTGAATATACTTCTTTGTTCACTAATTGAATATATACGTATATATACACATGTATGCATATAGTCGACTAAACATATATTTTATGTGGGCTAAATATTTAGTAGCAAATGACAATGCAATTATAAAGAGGTATATTTGAGATGAAAAATTGTATCTCATTTACCTCTGGTTGTCTGATACAAAGCATGTTTCCTTGCTCATAGTAGGTATTTCAAAAGTTGTTTGTTAAGTGAATGATTGAATAAATGAGTGAATAGATATCTTCTAATCCTTATCGCCTCACTTCCTGCACTCCTACCCATATACACATTGGCCTGGGGCCAGATTTCTTAATTTGATAAACCACTGGAGAGAAGAAAACCCAGGCTAGGGAGTGTAGATGATGCCATATGGCTTATCCTCATCATGACACATAGGACAGAACTCCATTCAGCCCTGCCCATCTATCCATCCAACCATCCAACCATCCAACCATCCATCCATGCATCCATCCATCCATCCATCCCTCTATTCATTCTTCCACTAATACATGTAGTTAGTAAACATTTATTGAAAGAAATACTAATGGAGATCAAGTGTAACCTCTTTAGAAGCAATGTAAATTCATATCCAAGATAATGACTCTGCATATGACCACACTGTCCCAGAGGCCATCATGGTGCCCCAGTTGGGTGTGGGGGGAGGCACAGAATGCCCACGAGATTTTGCAACTCACCTTGGCACACAAATGAAGAGGGTGTTTCCCCTGGGTGCACTCGTCCCGTGATGAACACTACCTTCTGCTCTGCCCCTTCCCGAAGGTTGTCTGTAAGAAAAAATGGAAGGCGGTTGCTCAGGAGAACAGGGAAAGCTGGGACTGGGAGTTGGTATGTGGGAGAGAGGGGCAGGGAATGGACTGGGTGCTTTACATTCATTTCTTAAATCAATGGGTTAGAATCATTAAGGCCCAGCCATTGCTGACTAATTAAATTATGTCCCCAACTACCCAATATTAAAAGACTACATTCCTATTGGTGTAATTGATCATGTTAATATTACAATCATCTGTAGATGTCATGAGTGAAGCCAAATCTCAGATCCACTGATCGTGACCCTAGGCAAGTTGTGCATGCCTTCTGAGTTTTGATTTGCTAATCTATACATGTGGAGAGTATTAGTGATTAAACAAGCTTACACATTGCCTAGGACACAGTAAACACTCAGTAAATAATGGAGAAAAGAAATTAGCTGTTTCTCTTAGTCACAGTAGCAGCTACCATTTAATTAGTGCCTTGTGCGTCAGGGACATACTATACATAGAGTTCTACAGAAACGTGTGTAGTTAATATTCCTTTTATAGAGGCAGACACTGATGCTCAGAGAGGTTACATAACTTGTCCAAAGTTACACAGCTAATAGGCGTGGGTCGAGCTGAAATGAGAACTCAAGCCCTTGTTTGGCCTTGATGAAGTAACAGGGACCAGATTTCCTTTTCAACTTAAGCAACAAAATAATCGACACATATACAAAACAACTGTTCTCAGACAAGAGGCAGTGCCAGACTCATATATGGAAAAAAGGGCACAAATGAAGTTTGCCTTGCCTCTTTGCCTGGAGGCCCAATCCTGACCAAAGAACAGAGAGAGGTATCTTGAGCAGACCATGGAAATCTCACTGAGATTAAGCTTCAGAGAGTCTGAAGCAGGTGGTAGTTGGGGGGAAACTGCACATTCCAGAGTAGACAGAGCTCTGCGGAAAAAGAATCCCAGAAATCTGTCAAGGAGTCCTTAAAAGTGTTTGCAGGGTCTCAAGATGTGCATGCAGAGGGTGAACTCCACGATGCCGTGTAGAAATGACCGGAGAGCTGTGAACTGTGCAGGTGTTGGCTCACACAGGGCTAAGAGTCATTGGAATTCCCACCACCAAAGTGGTAGTCCTCACTGACCATTCAGGGCATTCAGGAGAGAGCCCAGAAGGGCCATGTCTTAGTGATGGGGCTAAACTACTCTAGACTCATTCTAATAACATTTGAAAATCACGAAAGGATCGAAGTGGACAAAAGAGACTTAACTGCTTGTCATATAAAGTGCAACTCTCTTTGAGGAAAGACAAAATCCAGACGCTTGACAATGTACAATTCAGTCTCCAGCACCCAATAAGAATCACTAGACACGCAAAGTAGTAGGAAAATATGGTCCAAAATCAGAGCCTGAGCTTTTTCTGCTTCTACAGAAATCTCATTCATATAATAAGGTTTAGCTATTGTGCAAAGAGATTATTAGATAAAAGCAGGGGCCAAGAGTGATATTCCCAGAAGGAAGGGGCAAGAGGGTACTTAGTCCCTGGCCAAGGAAGGCCAAATCAACCCAGAACAGAACCACAATCAGAAGGAAGTCAGAAATCAACACTGAGAGAAGCTGGGTTAAAGAATAATACCTTCTGGGGCGCCTGGGTGGCTCAGTGGGTTAAGCCTCTGCCTTCGGCTCGGGTCATGATCTCAGGATCCTGGGATCGAGCCCCACATTGGGCTCTCTGCTCTGCGGTGAGCCTGCTTCCCCCTCTCTCTGCCTGCCTCTCTGCCTACTTGTGATCTCCCTCTCTCTCTCTGTCAAATAAATAAATAAAATCTTAAAAAAAAAAAAGAATAATACCTTCTATGTTGGAGGATGATCTGGAGGGAGAGTGGAGGCAGAAATAATTAACAGGCTTTTTACTTCTGAATTGCTTAGGACAGGTTATTTTGAATGTGGTTTATGATCTCAACTGTTGATGCACCAAAGTCAGGGACCATATATATATGTCTATATATAGATATATAATTTTTATATATATGTATTTTATATAAAATATACAAAATATAAATATATATTTAAATATATTTAAAATACTTAAATATAAATAGATTTAAATATAAATAAATATATTTAAATATTTTAAATATATATTTATATTTTATATATTTTATAGATATAATAATATATTTTATGTATATAAACTTTATTAAGCCCGATTCTCATATATATATATTCTCATATATGTATGTGTGTATATATATATATGCATATATATATATATATTTATATAAATTTTGTTAAGCCTGATTCTAAAGGCTTGGAACTTGCTCCGTCTACTGGCGTGACCGGTACTAAGGTTACTGCTTCCCTAAAATAGGCCTCTGAGAGGCAGCAAGAAATACAATGGAGCCAATATTCATTTCTTTTTTTTTTTCTTCCCCAAAATATGTTCTCGAGAACTCACCCTATGCTCAGTTATGTGCTAGACACCTTTAGGAACAAAGGGAGAGAGAAGTTTATGGTTTAAAAGAGGAGTTAGACACCTGAATATTTTTTAGACTGAATGCAAGCTCCTTCAGGGAGAAGCAGCGATTTTCATGGTTATTTTTAATACCATTCCCAGGACCCTGTGTGAAATAGCTGCTCGGGAATTGGCTATCAAATTAAAATATACTCATGTAGGTATGGCTTAGATAAAAGTCATTTAATCTTCTCACACCTCTGTGAAGTGGACAGTACGAAACCCATTTTATAGGCAAAGGGACTGAAGTTCACAAAAGGAGGGGACATGCCCAAGGTCACCCGGCTCCCGGCCTAGGATCCCTCTCGCTAGCCTGTCTCCTCCTGGATCGACTAGCAACAATGTCAGATCCCATGCCTGCATTTCCACCTATAATGTGCATAAGAGAGTTTGTTTCTATCCCTTCTAGCTGGTGGAAGTTGAGCTATTGCCTTTGTATTTATATTGTTTTTTCACTTACAAAACAAAAAGTGAAATGCCACCAAGCCCTTTTAAAAAACAGTAACACTGACCCCATCTATCCCCGCCATCCAGAAATGATAAATAGCATTGCTGAGGCCCTCGGTGAACGCTACCTTTATGGATGTCTCCCCTGGCCTGGTATCAACTCAATCGCATTCAGTGCTCTGCTGACCACAGAGAAATGCAAAATGGGCATTCTATTTGCACACTAATTTTACTGAGCCCCTGCGTCTTCATAAAATGATAACACGGGGCTAATAAAAATCAAGCATCTCGGGTGCTAATATAAGCAAATGTTGATGCAGGCAGGTAACAAATTGCTTTGTCATTTAAGAGGCTGTAAAAGAGCATTATAATCATCTTTAGGCAAAATGGATGGGTCGCCTTTGCTTAGCTTTTAGCTTTCATTTGCAAAATCAATTTAAGGTAATGTAGCTGCTCTGAGGTGGTGTGACATGGGACACCTCCCCCCAACTCACCCCCCACCCCCCGCCACCCTGTCACCGCATCTCCAGACTCACGCAAAGCCAATTAAACATGTTCTTGGAGGAGGGGTGATGGAGGAAGTATGCTTGAACAAAGCCAGGGTGGAAAGCAGCTGAACAATGAAACCAAGAGCAACTCATAAGCAGTGATGAAATTGGAAGTTCATTGAGAGGGACATGCTCAAGGATACGAGGGCACACTCATGAGAAACCAGATAGTTAAGGTGTTTGAAGCCAAATGTACTTTGTGTAGCATCCCACCACACATACACACCCTTTTGCCATTATACGCCTCTATCATCCACTATTTCCTTATTTATAAAATATTTATCAAACACATACAGGGTAGCCAGGCACTACCTACTATTACCTTCATTTTACAGAAAACCAAGGCCAAGAGACATTAAATGACTCACTTTAGTTCTCCCAGCCCAGGAAGGGCAGCGTGAGGCCCCACCCAGGCAGTCTGACTCCACCGGTGTCCTTAAACCCCACGCTACTCTGCTTCTTGTGAAGGAGGACTACAACAGTAACCAGTTACGAGAGCAACCAAGTGATATTTGTTCAGTACTTACTCTGTGCCAGGCACTTCACATCTATCACCTTGGTTAACTGTCATAGTGACCCAATGAAACATCTATTATGCCTACCCCTATTTTATAGATGAGGAAATTGAGATCTAGAAAGGTGAACAACACGTCTACACCTGCATGAGTGGCGCGTGTGGGGGCCAAGATGAAACCCCAGGTCTTATGAATCTCAAATACATGCTCTTCATACCTCTTGGAGATTAAATAGGGTTCATGGGGTGGTTTTAAAAATACATCCACAAATTCTTCTTTGTGAATCTCTTCCCTTCGAGGGGTGGAGATGAAACCCTTTCCCTTCAGCATGGGCTGGACAGACAGGCTTGCTCTAGCAAAGAGCATACTGGTGGGAGGGTGGTGAAGGCAGGTCACTCTTTTGAGATTAGGCTATAAAAAGATGGTGGTTTCCATCTTGGGAGCTGTCTCTCTCTCCTTCATCGCTCACACTGAGGAATCCGACTGCCATGATTTAACACTCAGGTAGCCTGTGGAGCCCTCACCTGTCTGGTCAGGAACTGAAGTACCCAGGAACAGAGGCCAGCCAAAACCATGTGAGCAAGTTTGGAAGGGTATCCTCCAGTCCCACATGACCACAGCCCCGGCACCATCCTCCAACCTCCTGAGCCAGGGCTGTCTAGTGGAACCGTCCCTGCCCTCCTGGCCCAAAGAAACTGGGAGATGATAAGTCATTGTTCTAAGATCCTGAATTCTAAAGGAAGTCGTCAGGCAGCAACAGATTAATGAATCCCCCTGGAGATGGCCAAAGAAACTTTGCGTCTTACCTATGGATGCCCAGCCTAAGTAAGACCAGAGCCGTAACCCTAGTGTCAACATGGAGGGAGAGCCTTAATGGATCAGGTCAGTCATCAGTGGACCTGTGGCTGCTGTAGGTGCTGGAAGATGCTGAGAGGCCCCACAGAGCACTAGTTGGGACCTCTGAGGACAAAAGACTCCCAGAAGTTCATGTGGTCAGTGTG